AAAAAATAAAAATTTCTAGCCTAGGCCTAGCTTACTGTCTGCTACTAAATAATTTACAAGAATGTTTGAATAAAAGTTTTAAAAAACACTCTTAAAATGAGTGCGATAATGGTACAACTGCAAATTCATTGTGATTTAACGGCATTAAGTAACACTTATGTTTAATGTTCTCTGGAGAGAAATGTACAGAACGCAGTTGTAAGTCAGATACTTTGAATATTCCCAGAAGTGAAGAAGGCACAGGGTATTCATACAAGTCAGTCTTTCGATAAAATTTCTTGCCTGATAAAATTGGTCCATTCTCAGAGTTGATAATGTTGTCAACAATAATCACAAACCCATCAGTAGTAATGCAACATGAGTCAGACTTCTTTACAGCCACAGTTGTTCCACACAGTAAAATTTTCTTGAACTGTTGACCGGCCACTTGTTCATTAGGGTTATTAACCGTTGGCATTTGGAGGACAGCTGGTTTTGGTTTTGGTGCACTCTTCGTTTTGTGAATTCTTTCCATTTCTCTCTTTGCAATTTGCTGGAGAGGCTTGACTCTTGATGTAATGTGAGACTTGATCATCCCAAGACAGTTTTCAAAGGGAAAAGCACCAAATTCATCTAAAGGGCCATGATCATTGCATTCAGCAGCAAGATGCAAAAGACTATGTACATTATAAACAATAAACTCCGCACCAAAGAGTTGTTCTGCATGAGTTACAAAAGTTTGTAAAAAGAAATTGGCTTCTTCATTCAGATTTCTATGGAAGATTGGACTACACAATATATATATGGCACAATGGAGGAGAAGAAAACTTTTATAAATATTTTGGTCAAGGTTTCTGAAAGCCACCACCCCATCATACAGTAGCATTCTTCTCAATTCAGTTGCTTTTAACTTTTCAGACGTTATGGGAAACGGCTTACGATTGAAATCACAAGGACAGTACTCTCTGAAAGAACCTATTATGGTGGAGATTTCTCTCTTTTCTTCTGGTGTCAAAGAATAATCTTTTCGGGTATTCCATAAGAAATCAAACCAACGTAAGAAGACGCCTTTATACACTAAATGCATACTGTCAAGTCTAAATTTTGAGACAAGTTTTTCCTCACATGACAGTAGTGGTGATACACCTATTACATGCTCATCCAATTCAAAGTCATCGTAATGCTCCAAATTTGGCATCATTTTGGCAGTGGCCATGTCAATAAAACTCTCATCAGTCCTAAGTGGACAGTTTTGATCAAGTAAACACATTCTATTCATGTAATCAATTCCTTTTACTGTACACTTTTCACAGCAATAATACCCTCTTACACCCTTCACACATTTAATACTTGCCCGCGCCTTCTGATCTAAAATGTAATGCCGGATTGAAAAAGGGTATGCTCGATCATTAAAAACAAAGCCGGTATCTTTTAACATATTCACTTCATCCACAAACTTCTCCAAGAAACTAGACATGTCTGATGGATCAGAACCACAACCACAAAAGATTCCAATAATAAAAGGCTCTGGAATGTTCACTAATCTACCTAAAATAGGAATAAAGTTAGTCTTGCTCTTATTAAAAATAGGCAAGGAATCAATATTTATGTCAATGGCCACTTCATTGTGATTGGCAAAGTAGTCATTTGACAAAACCCTGTGAAGTTGGGGAGTGATACCGTAGTACCACAAAGAACCATTGCCGCAGTCAACAACATCTAATCTTTTTGGCGTTTGAAGAAGTGTCTTGTATGTGAGAGGGAGATTTGGATGAACTGGTTTTAATCGTTTCAAAAGATCTTCAACCTTGGTCATAGTGACACCCCCAGCTAGAACCCAATCTACTATTTGTTCGTACACATATTGCTCTGGGTCTTGTTGAGGCTGCTGTTCTTCGATATTTGGCCCATCAATAATTTCTTCTTCATTTAACGACCCTTCACTAATGTCTGCTTCATCATTTAAATCCTGATCACTAGCTACATTTTCCTGTTCCTGTACATCAAAATCCCGTTCCTGATTCTCATCATTTTCATCAGCACTGTTGCCCCTTGCTTCACCAGCATTATTATCATTCCGAATACCATCGTCACTTTCCTCACTCTCCTCATTCTGGTTCCGCTGCAATTCCAAAACCAACTCAGCATCCTGAACCCTCCTCCCAGCATCTCTCAAAGCTACCCTCACACATCTCCTTTTAACTGTCTGAAATTTAAGAATGAATATACATGAAGAAAAATGTGAAGTAATTTTAAACTTCCAGGCAGGAGAAATTGCTTCACAGAAATCTAAATGTTTTACATGTTGCAGCTAAGAATTTAAAAAGACATTACCTTGCGATCCATTGTGGATGAGAAAACGTGCTCGCTATAGCAGTTGAGATGACCTTGGTCGCTGTCAAGATCAGCTGATGGACCACGAGGTTCTTGCACGAACAGCTGACTGGAGTGGAGTGATCAGGTGATTAGTGCGGCTGGCTGAGCGCCGGGTCAGGTGAGGTGCCTGGTGACGCAATCATGCACCAGCCAATAGGGAAAGGCCTCTCCAGAAGCGCGCCAAATCCAAACGACACGGTTGAGGTTGTCGCTTTTATTTGTTGTTTATTTTCTTAAAGAAACTTCACGGGCGAGATTGATAGTTTGATGAGGCGGGCGCAGTTTGAACGTGTTGACCCCCCCCCCCCCCCCCTCATTTCGCCCATGTCCCGGGAGGGCCGGTGCGTTTCACGAGGAGACGCTGATGGCGCCTGCCGCGCGATGGGTAGGCCAACCCGCCAAGCTGCTGTGTGAAGTGGGCAGCCAGCCCAGAGCGCCCAAGTGCCTGGGCAAGAGAACGTTTTGAAGTCCAACGTGCTCTCGCATCACCCCGGAGGCGTTCATATTGTGGGGGCACCTTAACCGTTTTCAGATATGGTTGTGTCTCACATGTGTTGTCGCACTTGGTGGAAAAAACGTGGAATCCACGTGATTTCCACAAATGCGAGATTTTTTGTAGAAAGTACGAAAAATGCAAACTAAATGTAGGAAATTTAGTATTTAGCCATTGTTTGCCTTTCTAACGCTATAAACAGAAAATTATTGTTTGTGTGGAAAAATGGTTGACACCCCGTGGATGCATCAACGTCCACGAGTTATCCACGAATCCACGTGGAATCCACGTTGAATCCACGTACCGCTCCTCTTTGGG